ACCCCCCCAACACACACACACACTCGCACGTACCCTTACTGTGATTTCATACCCCTCATCCCCCCACCCCCCACAGTCTTCTGCGAAGCCTCTTCTAAGGATCCAGCCCTGCACCTTGTTGTCTCGTCTTCTCCAGTTTGTCGTCTTGCCATCATAAATTGTTGCCCTCAATTATTATTGGGTTTTTGCGTTGCCCAGCCCCTCATGCTGAAAATCACTGAGAACAATCATGCAAACTGTGCCGTGGCTCAGTGCAGTCAAGATGTTGAGTTCAATGCAGCTATTTAAAGATTATCTCTGCAACTTTTTTTTTGAAAATGTTGCTTTGCTTTTCTGCGCCATTTCCTTGTGTCCTTAAAGGCAGAAGCAAATTGTTTTGTGGAAGGTGATGACAACCTGTGCTGTCTTTCAGTTCTCCTGGTAGATTGTGAAGGCAAAGAGGGAGGAAATTGTAATTCATGGTCAAAATGCATGCTACCCTTGCTTTGAAGGTGCCAAGTGTTTTTAAGAGGAGAGATGCCAAAGTGGTAACCTGTCACTGGTAGATACTAAGAACTGCAGATGCTGGAGTCAGAGTCGATACAGTGTGGAGCTGGAGGAACACAGCAAGTCAGGCAGCATCAGAGGAGTAGGAAAGTCAACGTTTTGGGTTGGGACCCTTCTTCAGAACTGAAGCTAGTGCTTTGTTTTTTTTTAAAGTTAGAGCTAATTTTTGTAAACAAAAACATGGAACGTTTTCTATATTGTTGAATTAACTTTCGTAGAATATTTAGCTTTCAGAGAGAAAAGTGTTGGAAAATAATCACAATACTTGTATTAATGTCAGTACGGTATAAGGAAAAGTAAATGAAGCCATTTTAATTATGTTAATAAAACATATAACAGAAACCGTAGTTTCATATATCAAATGTATCTCTCTAGTACTTGTCTTTTGATAATTTGGCTTTTTAATTGTTCCCTGTATTATGTGGCTCAAAATGCTTTCTCCAGACATAACCCAGGGGGTGAGCAGTCAAAGCCTGTGGTAGTCTTGTTGGATGTTATTCACAATTCAGCTGGACACTATAAAAGATTTCCATACCTACAATTATACTTTGGTGAAACCCACCTCTGACTGAAATGATGGACGTGTGAAATCTTTACTGACTGTTTTTACAGTGTTCCAAAACATCATTTGGCAACATTGCTTATCATCTACTACTCAGACCTACTTTGCATTGATTTATTTTACAAAACTTATCCACTTAATTGTTAGAATTCCTACAGTTAAGTCAGTTTGTATCCTGACAGGACCATAACATTAGAATAAGGTGGACATGATCAGGGTGGAAATATTTCTTCGAAATAATGTTTTATGATAGAATTTCTCTGTACTACGTTGTTTGGGAGGGGAAGAAAGGATGAACACTCTGATATGGGTGCTTGATCTTGTGGCAAGAAAACAAATTTACTGTAATTAAAATACTTCAACTTGAGCTACTATGTTGAAGCAAATTTGGAAGGTTAGCTTTGCTTCAGGTTGTGTTTTTATAGTAAATTCTCACTATCTTCTTTCTGAATTATGGGTTGGAAAGGTTAACTGGTGATCCTTGACCAGTAGAACAATATTTGAGCCAGTAGTTCATTGCCACAACATAGTAAATATTAAGCCAGATATGTGGGCAAAGATATTTCAAATACTGGATTGCATGTGGTGTGAGTTACAAAAGCAATGTCTAGCAAATTGATAGTGAAAGAAGATGCTGCCTTCCTAAGCCATGCATTAGGATTGGATGCCAGTTTATTTTCTGGAAAGACCTGGATACCTTATCAACAAATGGTACCAATGTTATGTTTATTGTATGTCTGAAATCAGAGAAGTTCCACACTTGAGCATGTTCTCTGCAATGCTTCACTGTGGTGTATTGCTGCAGTCTGTTTATTCTACTTGAATGGTGCATAGTAATAACAGTTAAAGGAGTTGAACAAAACGTCTCTAAGAAGATGTATTTCAGCGAATTATTAACATCTGAATATTAATACTAATATCAAAATTTGAGGAATTTTTAAATGTTTAGTGTTGTTGAGTGAGTATAACTACAGTGAAATAGTCAGCAAATTCAGGTTTTTGAGTAATGAATAGAATAATACTCTGCCGATGGTTCCCTAATTTTGTACTTCATCCTGTGGAATGTTTCTTTTCAAATCAATTGGCTATTTCTGCGAGGCTTATTATATTTCATAGGCTGAAAATTAAGGGGTGCTGGTGTATTCCTGAAGGTTAGAAAATTTTGATCATACTTATGTGTGCAAGCTGAACAGATTACATTTTAATCGGAGTGGGATTGATATCCAAGTGAGATTTGCCAGTACTATCGGGATAGGTTTAAACTTGTTTATCAGGGGGTGGAAACTTGAGGAGTGACCCAATTAAAGTTGGTACAGGAAATTGAAAAGATGCTAGGGTCACAAGAAGACAAGAGCCACAGAACCAAGTATGCTTCAAAAATTGAATGTTGTCAAAAAGACAAAGTTAAGGGCACTCTACTTGAATGGATGCAGCATTCATAAGACTCATACTTATGAGGTTGGCCCTGGGCCCAATTTTCTTTCTGTTGATGGTCTGATGGATCACAAAGTCCTTACGGGATTTCCATTATAGCAATAAATGTTTATCTGTTTTTCTGTCATCCATGGGTGGCAAAAGCCTCTGTCCCCTTTGGATAACAAGAATTTGGTGTAGATGATCTAAAGGCAGTAATAGAGATCCATGAGTGTGATCTAATTGCCAATGCAGAATCATTTCTGCATGGTAGCCAGGAATGAGAAGGCGAATTCAAGGATATTTGACAAAAAGAAAAGGACTGGACTTGTACTGATGAGGGATGGGATCAGTACATTATAAAGGGAGGATCGTGGGTCAGAAGAACAATGTGTGGAATCTGTTTGGGAGGAGCTAAGAAACAACAAGGGGCAACAGACATTGAATGGAGTTCTTTAGAGGCCACTAAATAGTAGTGATAGTGTGCGGCATGGTGTTAATCAGAAGATGAGAGAAGTATGTGACATGACCAACACAGTTATCATAGTTGACTTTAATCTGCATTCAGCTTGGGTAACCAATTGAGAGCTGGAGTTTCTGGTGTATGTTAGGGATGGTTTACTTGAGCAGTATGTTGAGGAGCCAACCAGAGGGCAGGCTGTTTTAGATTTAGTATTATGTAATGAGAAAGGGCTAATTAACAATCTTGTTGTAAAAGAACCTTGAGGGATGATTGACCACAACATGACAAAACTTACATTATGTTTGAAAGTGCGGTGGTTCATTCTGAAGTTTGGGTGTTAATTTCCCTTATTCAAATTTATGAGGTGCAGATTAGCTGAGGTGGATTGGGAAATAACTAAAATGCGTGACTGTACGGAGGCAGTGGATGGTCTTTAAGGAACTATTGCATCACTTACAGCAAATTTACATGCTTTCAAGGTGCAAATACTTAAAAATTGTCAGTGAACCGTGGTGAGAAAAGTTCATGATTGTATAAATTTAAAATAAATGTTCATAAAGTTACCAGAAATGGTAGTAAATCTGAGGGTTGGGAGAATTTTCAGAATACAACAAGGGAGAACCAAAAAATAGATAAGGAAAGGGAGGGTTGATTATGAATGCAATCTGCAAAAAAACGTAAAAATATAAGAAAAGATTTGTTGGACTGAACAAGGCATAGTCTCAAAAGTATATAATGGGTATTAAAGAAATGACAGAGAGCTAAATGATTACTTTATGTCTGCTTTTGCTGACGAAGATGCAAGGAATCTTCCAGAATTGGAATTCCAAGCTGATAGGGCAAATGAGGAGTTGAAGGCAGTTAATGAGAAAATTGTACTGGAGTAAAATTAATGGGCTGAAAGTTGATACATTTCCAGGATCTGATATTCTTCATGTCAAGGTATTGAAGGAGGTGGTTATAGGAATAGTTGATGCGTTGGTGATTCTGTAAATTCTATAGAGCCCGGAATGATTCCTGCAGATTGGAAGGTAGCAAATATCACCCCGCTATTTACGAAGGAAGCGAGGGAGAAAGAAAGAATTACAGACCCATTAGCCTTATGTCAGTATTAGAGAAAATGCTGGAATCTATTAAAAAGCATTGAATGATAATGATCTGACTGGACACTAACAACATGATTTGCAAATGGGAAATCATGTTTGATGGACTTGTTGGAGTTTTTTGAACAGGTTACTAACAAAATTGATAAGGAAAAGTCAATGGGCATTGTAGAGATTTTCCAAAAATCTTGTTCAGAGTTTTTATTACACATTACTGGAGCAGGTAGGGGACACTGCCACTGCACCACCAGATCCCCTTATTTTCAGTCGTCCTTTTCAGGCATGTTATGACACCCCTGGACCAAGTGGGACTGAACCAGGGTCCTCTGGCTCAGAGGTAGTTGTGCTATCAATATAGCACAAGAGCTTCAAAATACATCTTTCTTTATGCGCAGAGATCAGCCAGATGGAAGTTGTAGATATTGTTCAGAGATTCTATGATACACCATAGGACCAGGTGAATTTTGATCTTGGTTCAGAGGTAGGGATGCTATGACTGCTACAAGAGCC